CACCAGGGAATAAGTCAGTAGACAGGGAGAGATTGAAAATAAGTGGAAAATGGTGATGACAAGAGGTAAGTCTGTTGGAGGAGATGGAATAGAGTGGGATTACTGGCCTTGGTAAGAAATAAAGACTTCATCAGATAAAGGAGGTGTTAGTGGCAGAAAGCAACTAAGTGATAGGAGATAAAGAAAGGAATGAAGAGGGAGCTCACAATGAATGGCCTAAATTTTTTCTTAAAATATGAGGTAAGATTTTTAGCTGAGAGAGTGGGTGAACATGGAGCCATTAGAGGTTTGAAGGGGGATGAAAAGGTACCACTGTGGAGAGTGAAATAGTGAGTTATTAAGGGAGGTAGAGTAGGATTGCCCAGCAGTAGAAAGGGCCCAGTTGAGGTTGTGTAACACAAATTTGTAGTGGATCCAGTCAGAACAGTTGTGTGATTTTCTCCATTTTTGTTTAGCAGCACATATGTAGAAGAAAAGGCAGTAAATAGTGGGAGCGATCTCAGGCTGAAGTTTGGCTGGGCATAATTGGTGATTTGATAAGGGTAGGGATTCAAGAGAGAAACAGTATAAAGTTGAATTGGTTCTCCAAGGGTTCAAAATGGAGAAAATAGGACAGAGTGGCCAATGCAGAGGAGATGGCCTGGTAAAGAATTGAGAGGTCAAAGGATTAGAGGTTATGATAATGGATGAAGAATTTCCAGGAGCCAAGATGGCAGGGTAAGAAGTAAGTCATTCTTACCCTCCCTTATTAACTTCTGAAAGTCCAGAAAATATCACCCCAGGAAAAACCCTGGAACAGCTGAACCAGAAGAAAGATGGCATGCAGCAGTCCAGTAGCCCAGGTAGCTTGAGGGATTAACAGGAAAGGACCCTCTTGCCCTGGAGGAAGGGGAGCAGTACAGAACAGGAGGCATCTCAACAAGCTAGCAGAAAGCCCCACCTCAGCATACCAGGAGGAGATCCTGAAAACCAGGCGGTGGAGCAGGCAAACAACAACACCTGGATCCCCAAGTGCCTCAGTGAGGTGGGGGGAGGGGGGAACCAGTGGAAACCAGCTTGTAAAACCAGCCTGTAAAACCAGAATGCCTTGGCATTCTACAGCAACCAAGTCTAACAGTGCCTCAGCAAAACTAAGGGAAGCAGTACTCCAAGAGGCCCCAGGGGAATAAACATCCTGCAATATCCATCTGAAATGAGCTGAAGAAACAAAAAGAAGGAAAGGCCTGGGTGAGCAGGAAATCTCCAGGAGCCACATTACCCAATCCTGCTCCTAGAGTTCCAGTGTTGCTGATTCCAGCCCAACATGAGGAAAGCTGCCAGAACCCTACAGCCTCCAACTGCCAGCATTGGAGGCCCCAGCACACAAAGCTAGCGACTAGGCCCTGGCTCCCTACACAAGAAGCTTGGGTCAGTGCCCTCTGCCCCCCAGCAGGAAAACTCAATCTCTTTAAAGGCCAGGAAATAAACAAACACCATGAACAAAAAGAAACATATGATAGATCCTTATTATGAGAACAGTAAAGATCAAGGCAGAAATTCTGAAGAGGACAACATTGTCAACAAACACACATCTGGAATCTCAAAAGGGAATATGAACTGGTCTGAAGCCCAAAAAGCCTTCTTAGAAGAGCTCAAGAAGGATTTTAAAAGTCAAATGAGAGGGGAAGCTAGGTGGCACAGTGGATGGAGCACTGGCCCTTAAGTCAGGAGGACCTGAGTTCAAATCTGGCCTTAGACCAGTCACTTGACACTTACTAGCTATGTGACCCTGGGCAAGTCACTTAACCCCAATTGCCTAAAAAAAAAAAAGTCAAATGAAAGAGGTAGAAAAAAATGGGAAAAGAAATGAGAGGTAAGCAAGAAAGAATGAATAGCTTGGAAACAGAAGGACAAAAATTAACTGTAGAAAACAAGTCCTTAAAAAATACAATTGGCCAACTGGAAAAAAAAGCACACTGAAGCAAACAAGTCCCTAAAAATACAATTGGCCAAATGGGGAAGGAGGTACAAAATCTAATAGAAAAAAACAATTTGTTAAAAATTAGAATTGGGCAAATGGAAGCTAATGCCTCTATGAGAAAGCAAGAATCAGTCAAACAAAAACAAAAGAATGAAAAAATAGATGAAAATGTAAAATACCTCATTGGTAAAACAACTGACCTGGAAAATCAATGCAGGAGAGACAATTTAAAAATTATTGGTCTACCTGAAAATCACGATAACACAAGATTTAGCAATTTCTACATTAAGGGATGGGAGAGCATGGAGTATGATATTCCAGTGGGCAAAGAAGATAGGATTACAACCAAGAATCACCTACCCAGCAAAACTGGGTATAATCCTTCAGCAGCAAAAATGGTCATTCAATGAAATAGGGGACTTTTTAAGCATTCTTGATGAAAAGACCAGAGCTGAATAGAAAATTTGACTTTCAAATACAAGACTCAAGTGAAACATGAAGAGGTAAACAGGAAAGAGAAATCATAAGAGTTGTATTAAGGTTGAACTGTTTATATTCCTGCATGGAAAGATATTTGTAACTCATGAGACCTTTGTCAGTATTAGGATAGTTGGAGGGTAAAAATTATATGTATGTATGTAGATAGATAGATAGATAGATAGAGGACATAGGGTCAGTTGGAGATGAAGGGGTGATATCTGAAGAATAAAATTAAGGGGTGAGAAAGGATTATACTGGGAGAAGGAGAAAGGGAGAAGTAGAATGGGATAAATTATCTCACATAAAACAGACAAGAAAAAGCTTTTACAGTAGAGGGAAAACGGGAGAAGGTGAGAGGGAATGAGGGAATCTTATTCTCATTGGATTCGGTTTAAGGAGGGAATAACATACACACTCAACTGAGTATGGAAATCTATCTTACCTTACAGGAAAATCTGGGGACAAGACAGCAAGGGGATGATACAGGGGAGGGCAGATTGTAGGAGGGGGTAATCAGAAGCCAACAATTCTGAGAAGGGACAGGGTCAAAAGAGAGAATAGAATAAATGGGAGGCAGGATAGGAGGAAGGGAAATATACTTAATTTTTCACAACAAAACTACTATGGAAGTGTTTTGTATGACTACACATGTATAACCTGTATTGAGTTGCTTGCCTTTTCAATGAGGGTGGGTGGGGAGGGAGGAAGGGAGAAAATTTGGAATCCAAAGTTTTAAAAACACATGTTAAAAAAATTTCTTTTCACATGCAATTGGGAAATAAGAAATACAGGAATGGGATATAGAAATCTATCCTGCCCTACAGGAAAATAGAAGGGGAAGGGGATAAGAGAAGAGGGGTGAGATAGAAGGGAGGGCAGATTAGGGAAAGGGATATACAAAATGCATGCCATCTTGGGGTGGGGGGAGGGATGAGATGGGGAGAAAATTTGGAACTTAAAATCTTGTGGAAGTGAATGTTGAAAACTAAAAATAATTTTAAAAAAAGAACCCACCAATCATCTCCTGAAAGAGATCCCAAATTGAAAACGCCAAGGAATATAGTAGCCAAATTCCAAAATTACCAAGTCAAAAAGAAAATACTGCAATAAGCCAGAAAGAAACAATTTAAATATCATGGAACCACAGTCAGAATTACACAGGATCTTGCAGCTTCTACATTAAAAGATGGTAGGTCATGGAATATGATATTCCCTAAGGCAAAGGAACTTGGATTACAACCAAGGATCAACTACCCAGTGAAAATGAGCATGATCTTTCAGGGGAGGAGATGGATACTCAACAAAATAGGGGACTTCCAAACCTTCCCGATAAAAAGACCAGAGCTCAACAGAAAATTTGATCTTCAAATACAAGACTCAAGAGAGACATAAAAAGGTAAACGGGACAGAACAACATGTTAGTAAGGGCAAACTATTCACATCCCTATAAGGGAAGATGATACTTGTAACGCTTGAGAACTGTATTGTTATTACATCATGTTAAAGGGGTATACATAAAGTTGGTGGGTAAAAGTTGACTTTGATGTAATGATAAAAAAAAAATCTAATCAAGTGGGTTAAATGGATCCAAGTAAGTGGATTAATCTGCTCTAAGAAAACGTACTGAGAGAAAAGGAAAGGAGGAGGTAGACAAGGGTAAATTACACTAGAGGAAAAGGCACAAAAACCTATTACAGCAGAGGGAAAGAAGGGAGTAAGATGAGCATTGTTTGAACCTTAGTTTCAGAGTTGGCTCAAGAAGGGAATAACATAATCAGTTAGGTACTAATATTGATAGACAACCCTTCTCAGCAATACAAGAATCTAAGACATCTCCAAAGGCTTCATGATGGAAAATGCTATCCATTTACAAAGAAAGAACTACGGAGTTTGAATGCAGATCCAAGCATACTATTTGCTATTTTTTTTTTCTGTTGTGTTTCGTTTCCTCTTTCTGGTGGTTCCTCCTATTGATTCCAATTCTTACTTACAACATCACTAATGTGAAAATATGTTTAATAGGAATGTATATGTATAGTCTATATTAGATTGTATGCCTTTTTGGGGAGGGGGAGGAAAATTTAAAACTCAAAAGCTTATGAAAGTGATTGTTGATAAACCATCAAAATAAATTAATTAAAAAAAGAATAAGGTATTGTAAGGGAAGACAAAGAGAGAAATAAAAAGTCAACAGGTCATGACTGGATAAGAGGATTTCATAATTCTTGAACACAGAAGTGGTGCATTTGTGGGTGATGGCAAAATCATAAGTATGACCATCTTTGTGTGTGACTCAGGTTGAGTGAAGCAGCTCATGGGAAATGAGTAGGTAGAGAATCTGAATGGTTAGGGTATTTGAGGATAGTCAATATGTATACTTAAGTTTCTTAGTACGAGGGCAAGAGTTAGAGAGGAGAGAAAAAATGTGAGCCACATAACAAACACATTTGGAAAGGAAGGGAGGAGTTCACCTGGAGGGTGAAATAGATGAAACAGCATGAAGCTCAAAGTAAAAGATATTACTGAGTGATAGACGTAGGAGGAGAATCCAGAAGTAGCAATGGAGGCAAGGAGTTATTTCAACTCTGTCCCACCCCGGACCAATGAGTCAAAGAGAATTGGTGTAGGTGCATCCAATAGTGAAAAGGGTGACCAAGGAGGCTGTGCCATCAGAGGGGAACCAGGTTTCAGTAAGAGCTTGTAGAAGGAAGGAGTGGGAAAGGAAGATTTAAAATGAAAGGTAGTTTGTTGCCTACGAGACTAGCATTCCAGAGGTCACAGTGATAGGACTAGGTAGAGTTAAATTGAAAATTGAAGTGGGAGGGTTGAGGGGGATGGGAATGAGAAACTGGGTGGTGAAAGATGGGGAATGGGATTTGGATGATGATCTACAGGAGTTTAGGCACTGGATTTGAAGGGTATAACCAAGTGTGAGAATGCTCGTCATTGAGTGGAAGACACCACTCCTCTTGCCAACAGAGGTGGCAGATCTGCCTAGAGGCAAATGCACTATGAGATGGAAGGAACAGATAGTCAGATGGGAGGCCCTACTTTACAACTCCTCATCCCTCTAAAAGCTGGAGATTAGGCAGTAAAAGTGCCCAGCTAGAGATGGAAGTTGAACCTGCATTATAAGAGAAAGATGTCCTTTTCGGTGGATGCAGAATAGACTTGTTTTATTGGAATTTCCTTTCCTTGCTATTTAAAGTTCTTTCTCCTGCTCCCTTGCAGAGCTTGTTGTTTGACATGACAATGTCCCTGCCTTGAAGAGTTTATAGTCTAATATATTCCACTCCCTTTACACTTCTCCTGTCACATATCCAGAGTGATAGCCAGGAAAAGGAGTTTTGTCCTGGGGAGTCACAGGGATGATGAGTAGACCCAAGGGGCAGGAAGTTGTAAGGACCTTTAAAGATTCAATGGTAGTATTGGGCTGATTACTGAGCTACTGCTTCCTTTACCCATACGAAGAATCTATCAATACCCAGAGTATGTATAAATTGAATTTCCAGTCCCACTGATATAGATTCTCCCCTCACTGAAGGAGATAAACAACTTGTATCTGTGTGATGAGTGAGATGGAGTTGTCCAAGCAAGAGACTGTTTTTTTCAGTCCTTTAAGGTCTTCTAGCTTCCAGCTATGAGGAAAAAGATGTGTGACATCAACCTCTCTCCAGGACTCGAAAGGGGAAAAAGATTCTGGAAAGAAGCCAACATGAGAAGATCTGACAGTCTCTTATTATATCCCTATCCACAACTTGCTACAATAGAGGTTTCGGGGAATTTCCTTTTGAGTGGGATCTGGGATTCTCCTCCTTAGATGAGCTAAATTATCTTTCAGTAGGAGGGCTTAATCAGTACTTGTCTAGTGCATATTGCTATATGTGTATTTTCTCTGATTTCTGTTTTATTATTAACTTGGATATATAGATTTCATCACTATTTTCTATGTGTCTTCATTGTGAAACTCGCATTTGGTAGGAAGGTGGTCTAGCCTTGGAAATAAAGTTTGGGGTCCCTGTCTGCATTAAGAAATGGCAATTAGAAGTCTAGCTTGAACCTAAATCTTACATCCCCTAGACAAATGATATTTAATAGAGCCGACAGATATGACTTTTACCCCCACTCTTTGAAGAAAGCAGAATGGAGGCTTGTGCTTCCCCTCCTGGAAAGAATTAATGTGTCACTTGGAAAAGGGTAGGGGAAAGAAGCATTAGAGATACCTATTCTCATCTCCCTGTCACACATACACACACCCTCATTATATATGTATCACACAAGGCTGTTGAGAGAAGATTAAATGACATAATGGTACATTATTTTTGCAATCATTAATGCATAATACAAACGTGAGTCATTATTTGCTAAGTATCCTGGATGACTGGGAAAGCATATTTTCTGTTGGGAAGCACTAGGCATGTCTTGGTAGATACTGAGCTATAAACTCTGATCCTCAATTGATCTGTCCTCAGTATTGTGTGTTACTTTGCAAAGCACTGGTACTGTACTTCTTGACATTGAGACCCTCTCAAGGTCACCTACACTACAACCAGAAGGGCCACCACCTTCAGCATAAGATCCTGGGAGCACACAAATTCAAATTCATTTATGAATTCAGAGAAGGGGGTTACCAAGTATATTGGAGCAATTCATAGAAATAAAGGCAATGTGGCCAATAAATCAATGATCATTTGTATTTCAGGAAAAAAGCACTGAAATTGAAAATAATGGGTCTGGGTTCAAATCACAGTTCTGCTATTTACTAGTTCGACCTTAAGCAAGTCACTTCACTCTTAAATAATGAGCATTACTTACCTATTAATATTTCTGTATTAATCACCTATTATGTGTTAGACACAAGGGATATAAAAACAAAGAATGGAAAAATCCCTACTCATAAGTTTACTCTCCAAGGAGGAGAGTGGATTAGATGAAATCTAAGGCTCCTTCTAGGTATAGGGTCTATGAAAATTTCACAGAATTGGGGAAAAAAATAAGTTGTCATATTTTAGAAAATATATAGAAAAGCGTTAGCACCTAAGAAGGTTGGTGAAGGGACCATAGATTATTATTACATAAAAGGTTGGTCAAGGAAATGGAGATATATTCCCTAGGGAAGGGAGGATTTAAGACTTAGAGGGACCATGAGGGGTGATGTCAAATATTTGAAGGGTTGTCAAGTGGAAGAGAGATTGAGCTTGAATTTGTCCTAGGTGGGAGAAGCAATGACAAAAAACTGCAGAGAGGCAACATAAGGAAAAACTTTTAAACAATTTGAACTGCCCCAAGTGCAAAGAGTTGCCTCCAGAACAAATGGGTTTCTAAAACCAAGGGATTTAGAAGGAAAGGGTCCTAGGTGTTCACCTAGTCCAATCCTCTCATTTTCCCGATGGGGAAATTGAGGCCCAGGGGAGAGAAGAGGCTCGTCTGAACTAGGACCAGGGACATCCGAGGTCCTCAGTCTGAGGTCCCACGTGTAAGAAGTGGTACTGAGGCTTCCATAAAGGTCTTTGTTGCACTGACAAAAAACAGCGCTTCCCTCAGTTACTGGCACATAGTAGGCGCTTAATAAATATTGACTGACTGATTGGTTGACTGAAGAAATCCCAGGACAAAGCTGGAAGGGACCTAAGAGTTCCTGAAGTCCAACCTCATCTTAGAGAGAAGATGGGACGAGCACTCACACCTCCAAGTTCTTGTTGACATCTCCACTAAGTCCAGTCCGCTTCACAGCCCCGGAAGTGGTCCTGGGCAGGGGCGGAAAAGGAAGCGAAGCGGCAGGGGAGCCGGAAGTGTTTGCCGGGGTTCTCTCTCTCCCTCCCTCTTCCCGAGCAACAATAACAGACAGGAGGCCGCCGGGCAAGTGAGGCACTGGCAGAGCCTCGGGAGGCTCCGGGTCCGGGCGTGGTGGGGCGGCTGCGCCCTTGCTGAACCCGTGTCTCCTCTTGTGTCTCCCTCACAGACGCAGCTGCAGCCTCGGAGTCGGAACATGGTCCAGCCGCAGGCTCAACCCTGCGCAGCCTCCGCCGCAGCCTCGGTCTCCGGGCGCCCGGTAATGGGGGAGGGGGCCCGCTGTCAGGCCGCAAGACGCAGAGGAAATGGGGAGGGGGCGCTCCGGGGTGTCCCTGGGGCCGAGAGAGCGGGGGACACGGCGGGGGCGGGGGCAGGGGGACAGGAGACCGAGGGCAGCCTTGGGGACCCGGGTGGGAGAAGGGCACAGACGGGGCGGAGGACCAGGCGGGGATGGGGGCAGTGGACAGTGGGACCCGGACCCCTGCATGGCGAAGAGGGGGGATGGGGAGTAGCGAGGGGCACAGGTGAGAGAAGGACGCAGACTCGGGGCGGGGGACACCCAGGGGTACACTGTGGCTGAAATAGATAAAGAGGGCAGGAAGGGAGGGGAAGGACTGAGACCAAGCAGAAGAAAAGTGTGATCCTCCTGAATCAGTGGCTCTAGAAAATCTTGGAGCAAAATCATGGAAATGTGATGTACGTGAAAAAAAAATTTTTAATATGTACATCATGTCATCTTTATGAAAAAATATCAAGCCTTGAAACTGTCAAGAACTCTTCCTTACCTTGCATGGAACAGAGCTTGGGAAATGGTGGACTAGATGGTCTCAGAGGTTTCTTCTAGGATTGATTTTCCATGAGCTTCTCTGTTAACTCTGGCAGTTTCACTAGTTGAAATTTTAGCCTTCCTTTAAGATCCAGTTCAAATGCCACCTCCTGGTAATCTTTGATGAATTTTCATTGTGAGACAGAAGCCATATCTTTAAATTCCTATGGTAACTTAAATATACCATTCTTCTAGTCACTATAGTATATTCTAAATCATTTTGTAGTTATTTCTGTCTTTATCTCTTCCACTAAACTATGAGCTTCAGAGGGCAGGAAGTATATCCTATTTTTCTTTATATTCCAAAGGATCTTTTACAAACTTCCTCGAAGGTGACCACTTTAGATCCTTACTCAGGGCTTAATACTATTTTAGGCATATTTCTCATAAGCTCAGTTTTCTGCTTTCATAGGGTATAGCTGACTAAAAGCAGAAAATGGGATACAGGTAAGAGATGAAGGGGAGAATGAAGTGTTGCTAGAAGTAAGCATGCTACCAGCATTGATTAATGCCTACAAACACAAATGGAGGTTGCTGGCAGACCATAACAAATAGGTGTGCAAACTCAGGACACAACAATATGGGGCTATTTATTTTAGGGACAAAGATACCTAAAAAGCTCCAGAGGGAGATCTTTAATGTGTAGGCACTGTAGATTTTCTCTGTTGGAAGGGATCTCTAGATAATGTAGTTCCACCTGTGTCTGAACACTTTGCTAGGCCCTGGGGATACAAAGACAAAAATTAAACAATCTTTCCAGTACTAGAGCTTACATATCTGTTGTGAGTTGGGGAGGCAGGCATACAATATACTCAGCTAAATAAGCACAAAGTATATACAAAATAAAAATAAGTTCAAGAAAGGGAGCCAACAATTGGGGCATCTGGATAAGCCTTAAGAGGTGATACCCAAACAGATCCCCTAAGGACTGATGGCACCAACAAAACCAACATCACCTGGATTATCTCCACATCTTTTGGGGCTATTTCAAAGATGGCTGGTGACTGAACCAGAAAGAACCATAGACCCAGTAGGTTTTAAGAAACACGACCAAAGTTTCTACTCATGTCTTTTCTGTTACCCTTGAAGAGTGCCACTTGGGACTCAGCAGCTTCTCCCTTGGACTTCCCATTGAGGTAAGAAGAGAAATCACTTTTCCATCCTATCGTGGACAAGGTGGAAGATCCATACATGTTTATTTGTGTACATACTGTGTCTCTCAGTTGAATGTAAGCTCTTTGAAAACAGGGATTTTTTTTTTCATTTTCCCCCCATTTTTGTCTTTAGACATAGGAATTAAGGAAGTCACTAAATTTATTATTTCCAAATCCCTTAAATGAAGTCTGATTACCTGGAGGCATGTTAACACTGGATCCATTTAAGGACCTATATACGTACAATATGGACAAACAATAGAAATGGATCAATAACTTTTTTTCAGTCCTACCAAATTCAGAAAAATGGATTAAGGTGGAGAATGGCTCCAGTTCTGGTCCAGAAGTCAGAAGATGTAAATAAAAGTCCTGTCTCTGCTACTAACTTACTATATGTGATCTTCGGCAAGCCACTTCCTTATGGACCTCAGCTTCCCCGTCAGTAAAATGGTGACTTCATCAGCTTGTTAGTGACAAGAGTATGCTAGAATTGGAGTCCTGATGCCTGAGTTTAGATCTGGGATCCAACATTTATCTGAATGACTTAATCTCTCTGCCTTTCAGTTTCCTCAACTGTAAATATGGGGATAATTGTAATCATATTCTTTGCCTTGCTGGGTTGTCATGAGGGAAGTACTTTTTAAACTATAAAGTTCTATGGAAATGGGAATTATTCATATTATTTCTCCACGGTGAATAGAGTATTGCTTCATGCAGAGTATGTGCTCAGCAAATGTTTCTCACTGATAGGAGAATCAAGTCCACTACAGAAATTGTTAAAAGATTTCACTTTTCATTAAAACAAACAAAAAGGATTTGATGGCCCACAGGTGGTGCCATTTCATCTTTTTGGACAAAAGACGAAGGTGATTGACATGAATTAAATAGCCTGTTGGTGGGTCTGACAGCTGTTTAAAGTCTGTCCTCACTCTAGTCCATGCTCTATTCAGCTACCTGAAGCTCGGGTCAAACCATCTCAGCTGTCTACTCAGTAAACTGTAATGGCTTCTTATCACCCCTTGGATCAGACACAAAATCATCTGTTCGGCATTCAAAGCCCTTCATAACCTATGTCCAGCCCACTTTCCAGTCTTCTTGCACCCTGGTCCCCACCATGGTAGATCCAGTGACACTGGCTTCCTGACTGTTCCACATACAAGACACCCTATCTTTCAACTCTACTCATTTTCTCTGCCTGCCCTCGTGTCTTAATCTCCCTCCTCATTTCTGTGTCCTGGCTCCCTTCAAGTCCCAGTTAAATCCCATCTATAGGGAGCCTTTTCCAATCCTTCTTAAATCCAGTGAGCCACCTAGGTGGCACAGTGAATAGAGCACTAGGTAGGCCTAGAGTCAGGAAGAATTGAGTTCAAATCTGGCCTCAGACTCTTTCTAGTTCTGTAAACCTGGGCAAGTAAATTAATCTTTGTTTCCTCAACTGGAAAATGGAGATAGTGATAGCACTTACCTTGTGGGGTTGTACTTTGTAAAGCATTTAGCACTGTGCCTGGCACATAGTAGGTGCTATATAAATGATTTTTCCCTTCTTCACATGCTTTCCCTTTGTTAATTATTTCCTATGTATACTGCGTATAGCTTTTTAATACATAATTACTTGTTGTCTCCCATATTGGATTGTGAGGTTCTTGGGAGCAGAAACTACATTTGACCTGGCACATAGAGGTACTTTAAAAAGCTTACTGACTTACTAGCTGTGTGACCTTGGGCAAGTCACTTTAAAAAAAAAGCTTACTGTCTTTTCTGCATCTGTATTTTGCATCTGACAGGTTTTGTTTTCGTTTTTGTTTTTGTTTTTGTTTTTTTAGGCAATTGGAGTTAAGTGACCTGCCCAGGGTCACACAGCTAGTGTCAAGTGTTTGGTCTGAGGCCGAATTTGAACTCAGGTCCTTCTGACTCCAGGGCCGGTGCTCTATCCATTGCGCCACCTAGCTGCCCCTTGTGACACTTTTAATAAATAATCCCTAATCAAACCAAGAAACTATGATGTGATCTCTACCCTAGTATGTGGCACTGATGGCATTACCCACAATAACCCATGTTATTGTATATTGAGATCAGATGAGGGTTTAAGATTCAGCACTGGACTGAACACCCCCAAAATGTGCTCTCTACCTAGTAGACTAAACCTGAAAAGCACCTCAAAGTCTTTAGAGGCCAGCTTTCTACCTGGGACAGGAATTTTCCTTACAGGCTGCTTGATGGGTGTTCATCCACTTTCTAAAGGAAGACAGTATGGTGTCAGCACACCTGGGACTGAATTCTAGCCTGAACTTTTTCTTACTTGTGTGACTTTGGACTTTTTTGTCTCAGAACTCTGGTTTCCTCATCTATCACATGAGGACTAGATAGTTGCTATGGTCCTTTCTAGCCCTAAAAATATGATATTGTGAGCCTTCTCTGGGCTTTGGCTTCTTCATTTTTAAAATGAGAGAGTCTGACTAGTGGTTCTATGAAGTCCCTTCCATTTCTAAATCCTGATAACCCCTCTCTGATTATATTCAGTGATAGACAGCATAGAGCAGTGGAAAGAACATTATATTTGGAGTTGGAGGGTCTCTTACCACACACAGTCCAATGGGAGGGAATTAGAATGAGACATGGAGGGTTTGGGTTGAGAGGTATGGGAATAAGGAAGTGAGCAGTGGGTGATAAAGAATGGGGTTTGTATAGTGACAACCAGTGGTTCAGGATCACTGAGATGGGCAGGTATGAGGTTTTGTTGTGTTTTGAAGAGGCAGCCGGGATTAAGTGACTTGCCCAGAGTTGCACAGCTAGTGAGTGTTATGTGTCTGAGGTCACATTTGAACTCAGGTCCTCCTGACTCCAGGGCTGGTATTTTATCCACTGTGCCACCTAGCTGGTATGAATTTAAGTGTTATTTATGTCACTTGGGGTTCCCCACCTCAGGGTGGGGTCTGCTTAGGGTGTTAGGTAGCTCCTACAAGAGGACCATTGAGGGGAGCTGAGAAAAAAGAATTTGTTTCTTATTCCTACAGGCAAGCCAGCTCAGGAGATAAGTAGAGTGAATAGTAAGGACTAGCTCTCTCTGCCCCTTGCTGGCAGGAAGGTGCCATGTCAGGAGACAGGCGCCTAATGGAATGGAGTCTGGGTGATTCCCCTGCAAGCAGGAAGGGTGAATATCAACAGACATATGCGTAATGGAATTGGATTTCTCTTATCCTCTGGTGTCCTGTGTAAGGAACAGCAAGTTAACAAGTATTGCTAAATTGTAATACATGGAGGGGAATAAAGTATAAGAAGACTGGAGGTATAAAGGGCCCAGATTGTGAAAGGCTTTGAATGGCACACAGCATTTCCAGTTTTGTTCTGGAGGTAATAGGGAGCCACTGTGATTTATTGGACAACTAGGTGATACAGTAGCTAGAGTGCTATACCTGGAGTCAGGAAAATCATCTTTCTAAGTTCGAATCTGACCTCAGACACTGTCTGTGTGACCCTGGGCAAGTCACTTAATCCTACTTGCCTCAGTTTCCTAATCTGTAAAATGAGTTGGAGAAGGAAATGGCAAACTACTCCTGTATCCTTGCCAAGTAAACCCCAAATGGGGTTTAGTCTTATAAAGAGTCAGACACAACTGAAACAACTAAACAACTACAGAATAATTTTTTGTGTTGAGATAATATGGTGTGGTCTGAATTTTGGGGAAAATCACTTGCTAGCTGAGTAGAGGACAGATTAGAATGGGTAGAGGCTTGAGGCAGGAAGACCGATTAGAAAGCCAATTTGTTTTACTTGAATCTATGATTATTTAAATTCTCTCTTTCTTCTTTCTTTCCAGGAAACCTGGTCTTCATCCTAAGAGAAACTGGCACATCTTACCCATGGAACTAAAGAGAGTAGACTGTTTGTTTTCTCTTTACATTATTAGGACCCAGGGAAGAAACAGTTGGGCTCACATTCCTGTAGATTTATAGATTTATATAGATTACACAGATTTAAGATTTACATAGCACTTCCTTCACAACAAGCTTGTAAGGTATTTCCACTTTACAGGTGAAAAGAACTGAGGTTCAGAAAGAAAACATGAAATTGTCTGTGGACATCCAGCTTGGAACTGTAACCAAGGTCTTCTGACTCAGAGTAGTTTTGAAAGAATATTGAATTTGGAGTCAGATATCCTAAATTTGAATCACAGTTCTACTGTGTGACTTTGAGCAGCTAGTTTCCCCTTTCTAGGCACAAGTTTCTTTCTCTCATTGTAATGAGAGGGTAAGCCTAGATAATCTGTAAGAGTCCTTCCAGCTTTAAATTCCATGATCTTAGGATTCCAAGTCTAACACTTTCTAGTATACAATTTTGCCTTTTTTTTTTTTTAAGTATGGCAATCAAGGTTAAGTGACTTGGCCAGGGTCACACAGCTAGTAAGTGTCAAGTGTCTGAGGTCATATTTGAACTCAGGTCCTTCTGACTCCAAGGCTGGAGTTCTATCCACCGTGCCACCTAGCTGCCCCTCCATTTTGCCTTTTGCTACTGCTGTCATCATCCTTATCCTTCAGCTAACATTCAGTAAGAAATTGTATGAGTACAGTTCCTTGCTCGGTTAAGGAAAGGATATGGAGAAGATGTTTCATCTACCCCTGAAGAACTCATATTTTCATTACATATCATTTACCAAGGGTAGCTGTGCAGTGTTTTCTGCTTCACACTGGATTTTTCAGTAAGCATATAGCAACTGCTTTATTCAGCAACATAATCATCTTTCATTGAATAAGCCCTACTGTGTGAGAGGCATCATGCTGATCACTAGGGAGGATAGAAAATGTAGCTAAGACATGGTCCTCGCCCTCATAGATAATAATATATGTGACTCCAGTGAAAGCCCTTGGAAGCACAATCCTGTTAAGCAGCAAAGGCCGTCAGATGTACTGTCAAGCAAGCGCTTAGTCCTGCATTTATATCTACCTACCCTGCTCCTGAGGGGGATCTAGAGCATCAGCCATAGTTCCTAGGGCTCAGGCTGTATGTGACTTGCCCTTTTTTCTTTGCCCTTTGTGGATGGTGGGCTAAATGACTGCTAAATGACTACTCAGGAAAAAGTAAAATAAATACCCCTTAAATCTCATCCCTGCTGTATTTCAGTTGCTGTCGTTTCCCAAAGCAGCTAGGTGAAGCAATGGATAGAACACTGGACCCAGAGTCAGAAAGACCTGAATTCAAATCTAGCTTCAGATAATTAACAGCTATGTGTTCCTGGACAAGTCACTTAACCTGTCTCAGTTTCCTAATAATAACACCTACCTCTCAGGTTTGTTATGAGGATCAAGTAGAATATTTGTAAAGCTCTTAGCACAGTGCCTAGCACAAAGTAGGCATTTAATAAATGCTTATTCTCTCCTTCCCAAAGCATAACTATATGCAGTCCTTTAATCACAATACTGTATAAATACATGAAAATATACCCCATATGGGCATTTTCTTGCCCATGAAGCCTCCCCATACCAGGCTGCCACAGCTCCAAACCCAAGTGCTCGATCTTAGTACATCAGGGCTATTCCACTCTTGGCCTGAAGATTTAGCCTCCAGTCAGTTGGAGTGCCCCTTGGATTAAGGATACTCTAACTGGTCTCTGTCTCTCCCAAGGACAATACTGCTTGAGCTAGCAAGGATACCCAAAGAAGGCTTAGTCAGGTACCAGCTCTTCTTTTCAATGGTGTTTTCATTCCAGGATCCTATAATTCTTGGCAGAGTCTATATTTGCACAAGAAGAGGTTGTCATGGATAGGATTAGATTGAAAGCTGGCAGGGACATTAGAGATCATCTAATGCAGTCATTTTATACATGAAGAAACTAAGGTTCAGAGGTTAAATGCTTTGCCTCAGGTCACGAAGGTAGCAAGTAGCAGAGGCAAAATTTGGATCCAGATCTTCTGATTCTATGATGAATACTCTTTCTAGTGCACCATGTTGCTAGTTAGTGGAGAATGGTCCCAAGGAATTTTGCTTATCCTCTCTGCCATTAAAGATTTGGGTTTTTGTTAGACTTTTTCCATCTAGCTACAATACATTGTCCTGCAACTTAAAATCGTTGAGCCATAGGGTTTAGAGTTGGCAATCATCTAAACTAACTACGTCATTTTACAGATGAAGAAACAAGCTTAGAATGATAATGTGTCTTTGCCATAATTACACAGATAGTCTGTTGTTCTGGACTCTAAAATTCTTACTTTTGCCCTCTGGTATTACGTGGATTAAATCTAATTTCTTTGCTTTGTGATAGCACTTCAGATTCTAAAGACAAAAATCACACATCTATAAATCTTCTGTTGGCAAAATATCTCCAGTTTCTTCACTTCATATGACAATAAATCTAGAGCTAGAAGGGTCCTCCAAGGTCATCTAGGCCAGCCCTTACCCCATTTTACAGAGGAGGAAGCAGAGGTCCTTTCAAGTGATCCTGGACAGGATGTTTAACCTGTACACCATCCTAGTCTCCATCCATTTGACTCATGAAAGCTCAGCAATGTCCCTTCTAAAAACCAACCAGAAAGAGAAATTGTTTACACTTTTGTAACACTATAGTTTACATAACTTGGCAGCAGCTCTGGAAAGTAAGTAATACAAGTATTTTAAACCCCATTTTATAAATAAACTAAAGCTCAGAGAGGTGGACTGACTTGCCCAAGGCCACAAAGCTAATAAGTGTGAGAGGCTGCATCAAAACCCGGGTCTCCTTAATTACAAATCAAGGGGGTTTTTGTTTGTTTTTCTTGTAATCCTAACTCTATGTGACCTGATCTAACAAAGAACAGTGGTAACATATCTGGTTATCTGGACAGTAGGGCTCAAATCATGCAGTCTAAGGTCATATTAACTTTTTTCAGGGCATCGTTACATGTAACATTGCAACAATTGTGATCTGTCAAGACTCCCAGATCCTTTTCACTTGAACTACTAGCTACCTAAGACTCCCACATCTATTTGTGTACTTAATTTTGAACTCGAGAGTAGAATATTTCTTTTAAATTTCTCCTCCCACATAATGCAAAGTGAGAAGGAAACATGCTGCCATAGAAAAGAATACTGGAACTGGTAGCAGAAGAACTCGGCTTGAATCTCTGCTCTTATACTACCAGTATGACTTGGGACAAATAATTTAAGGTCTTTGGTACTCAGTCTTAACTTGTATAATGAGAGGCTTGGGCTATATTATCTTTTAAGTGCCATCTAGACCCTCTCTTAAATTTGAGGGGTACTAAGGTTTCCAAAACACACTAGCTTTCTTTTTCCCCCCAATTTCATAAAAAACACCATCTCTTGCAACATTCTTCTCCATTACTATAATGGATTAACACTACTATTTCATTAGAAGCTTTTTAAAAAAATTATACTAATTTCATTTCCTAGCTCACTATTAAATATTACATCAGTTGGGGAGTAAGCTAAACAAATGGTAATAGATGGTGTTCTGAGCTGGGTCTGATTGGCCAGTCAGGTTGTTCAGGCTAGAGTTTAGAATCAATTGAAACACTCATAGACTCTCCAACATTTGGCAAGAAGGAAGGTTACTTAACTGTAGCATGGGAAGGATATTGAGCAAGGAAACAATGGATAGACACAGCCTCTTTGCTTCCATATAGAAATACCTATTGTCAAAAGGATATAACATAGCTTAGTCGTAGGCTTCCTTCAAGTCTGAGGGACAGAAGCTTGAGGGGCTAAGCTTTTTAAGCCCTAGGCAACTAGCTTGCTGGGTAACTTAAGTGTCTTGGATTATATAATTATCAAGTTTTCCTGCCTTTTTACAGACAAATTAGCCTAGCCTTCCTTAGATTGAGTTTGTTTCCACTATAGATGAATGTATTACCATACTGAAAGAAAGAATAAATACAGAGAAAGAAAGAAGACATATAAATTGATTCAAAGTAAAGTTGTTCATACTTTGTTTTCAATGAGGACTGATGATGCCATGGAGTGATGTCTTACACATGAATTGGATTTAAATGAGGCAGAGTTGTGCAAAGTTTCAGCCTCAACCTTTGTGAAGGCAACTGAAGCAGGTGCTGTGCAGTGTAAAATAAAGCAGAATCAGGAAAACAATGAAACTCAAAATTGATTTCAGTGAAAATAACAACAAAGAATCATAGGATCATAGATTTAGAAAGGGAAAGTACAACCCCTTCATTTTATAGATGAGAAAACTGGTACTAAGAGAGGTCAAGTGCCTAGTAAGCATCTGCAGCAGTGTTTGAATTCAGGTTTTCCTGAGTACAAGTCCGGTACACTTATGTACTGTGCCACCTATACAGGAAGTTATCTCTTTATACTCCCCCGACCCTCACCACCACCGCAATACATAAGATGTCAAAACTTTTTAGATGTTTTGGCTCATTCCTGAATTGGATTTTCCCCCTTCTTATTCTGTTATTTGCAACGGTTCTCTGGGAGGGAGAGAAGCGGTAAACTAGAATGGGAAATACAGGCAACATGAAAACGAGATATTTTTTTAAAGAAAATTTATCAGTGAGTGCCTGCAAGCTATGGTTTTGAGAGGATGAAGAACTACAAGAATACCTGGGACTTAATCCAGCTTTTCTGAGGGCCCATGTGAGAGGGAGTGTCCTTGATGCTGTACACAGATGAGGAAACTGAGGCCAAAAGAGGTTAACTGACTCATTCAGGGCCATCTAGGTAGTAAATGGCAAAGCTGAGATTTCAACGCAAAGTCTTTGACTCTAGATAAAATGCTGTAATAAATTAAGTTTTCAACTCTGCTATGCAAATGAATGGGTTATTTCCTCCTTTGCTGAATTTGAGGTTTTTCCACTGAGCAGCAAGGCCTTACGGCCTCCTGCTATAAACCACATAGTACTGGCCCATTTCTCATCTTAATCAAAGAAATAGCTTTCTTTTCTCTTTTCAGAATTACCCAACACTGCTTCAATAGATGGATCTTGTCAACTGAACAGGTTCTATAATGGACACCATGGGAAGAGATGTTAAAAATCCTGTTGTCTCTTGGTTTTTAAATTGGTCTTTTGCTCCTTGCTATTGTAGTTTCAGTGAATTTAGGGTTTAATTATTCTGTTGTTTTTCATTTGCATTGTTATAATTATTATGTATGTTATTTTCCTGGCTCTGCTTATTTTACTTTCAATCAATTAATATAAGTACTTTGTACCTGTTGGGGGCATTATCATACTTCATTCTGCTTTATAGTTAGATGTATCCTTGCATTCCCCCCAACTACACTTTGAATTCCCTGAGGACAGGAAGACTAGCTTATTTATTGTTAAAAGATTGGGCCTGGTAGTCTTGAGACCACTATGAGAGTTTCCCTTTAAGAGAGGCTCAGACTTAA